TTTTTTTTGAAATTTTAGCAAACCACTTGAATGCAAGGAGCAAGAGATAGGAGTTGGAGGATAGAATTTAGGAAGAAGATGCAAGAAGAAGTAACCTCCTGACCTTCTCATAGATTTTTTTGGAATCATCAAAGCTTCAAAATCCTTTCTTTTTCCAATCTCAAAAATATTTTTTCAAATATTTAATTTGAAATTGATTAAAAAAAAGTTTCTCATTTTAGAGATCTTTAACAAGTGCTAGGTTGACTGGAAATGCAACCATGTGAGTTCTTCTATAACATGGTGTGAATTATTTGCAAAGAATTATTTTTGTAATGTAACCTTTGCTATTAATTGTTATAGTGGGTAATTTCTTAACTGTCTTATTGTGAAAAGGGAAGAAAAAATGAAAGCTTTGGCTCTTGGCTATATTAATACAAAATTTTTTTTTACAACTAGGATTACTTAAGATCACTTTTATACTAAGGTAGTTTTATTTAATAATTAAGAATGGAAAAAAATCTTGCTTGAGGTAATATTTAAGCAAAAAAAAATCTTTTTGATTGTTTTTTTTCCAAATCCCTTTCTTATTAGAAGGTGCTTTAAATGGATTGCAAGTAGAAGAGCCAAAAATTAAATTATTGTGGATTAGTAGATGAAATTACATTAAGTTGAAGTATACATCAATAGCCATGTAGATGTATTATTCTACTAGATCTATGCAACTTAAGCTATCACCAATCATAGAAAATCTAGAAACAACTATCAAGAAAAATAAACCGAAGATAAAATAAGGAGAGACTCAAAGTAAATAATCTATACTTCCAATGTTAGAAGATATTTTTGTCTTAAACCTTAATTGAAGCAAATCTAGACAACAGAATAGGATGAAAAAGATTCGAATTTAATTCATCCAACTTGGTTGTAGAGGTAAATCAAGAGAAAGAAGGATCAATACATCCTTCTCTTCTAATAGAATGCAAGTAAAAGATTAATTCCAACCTTATATCCATCAATCCCTTGGTTCAACCAAGGAATTTGTCAATTCTAATTTCTAACGATTTACAAGTAGCTTCTATGCCTACAACCTCTCTATATTTAAAAGAACTAGGGATGATGATCCATCGGCATAAGTGGAGAGATTCATAGAACTTCTCACATCAAATTTAATTATCAATCTGATTTATTACCTTATATGGTTTTCAAGCTTTTTGAAGGATGGAGCTTGCAAATGGTATAGAAACCACCCCCTCCAAACCTTTAAAAATTAAGATATATTTATAAAAATATTTTTAGAAAAATTTAGACTAAAATTATCAAAGAAAAAATGATCGTGAAGGCATTACTTTGCCCTATTTTTAATAATTTGGTAATTTGAATCGATAGTAACTTGGTTTATGGAAATTCTTTTTACAAATGATATTCTCATTTAATTTTTTAATTAAAGATTTAATAATGAAGAAACAATTTTAAAAATTTTAAAAAGCAAAGATGTTGGTTTTACTAATAAAAAATAGGAGGACAAGTAACTAGTGCAGTCCTTGTAAGAAGGGAGGTGCACAAGTCCCATATGGATTATAGCACCTTGAAGGTAATTAGGAGGATAAGACTAAGTCCTTGTGGCCACTTTGAGATACCAATATACACTACTTGTGAACCTTAATGAAGCTCGAACTCTTAATCTTTTAAATAAGTTATCCTTGAAATAAAAATTATTCACTTAATTTTTTATTACTTATCTTCTATCTTTAAGCTATCACAACTTATTTATAATAATTTAGATTTACATGTGTTGTATGTCATTATAAAGATAAAAAGATTATTTATTCAAATATATATTTTATTTTTTACATTTATTTTTTACTAGATAAAAATATAATAAACAAATTGTAACTAGTTTTGTAGTATATAATTGCTTGATTGTACTTGTTCCACTTGTTTTGTATTTTGCTTCTTTTGTTTTGGTTCTTGCTACTTTTACTTCATACCACCAATTATAAGCAACTCTAAATTTAGGTTATCTTGTAATTTGGATTAAAAGATAAAATTTATCTTCACAGTTTATAAGTTCTTTATAAGTTATTTTTTAAGTTATTTTCTTTCATCATGATTATTTTTAGCAAAAACCTTGATAATTATAGGATTTGAAATGACATATAATTAATTACAAAATTATTTTATGTCTTTAATTTTAATCTTTCAATTAGTTCAATAAGCCATCTAGACTTCTATGACAAGGTGCTCTTTGAATATGCCATGGTTGTAATTGCTTCGATACTTGCAAAGATCTATACAAATTGACTAAACACTGCAATTGTTGAAGAACAATGTCTTGCTTGAAAGAATCTTGTGAGATATAAGGATTTGGGATGGAGAACTGAGAATTTTAAACATAGAATAAGGTATGCCAAATAAATTTGATAAATTTATAGTTAATATTATGAAACAAGCAACATTAAGATCCATGAACCTAAGATTATTAATTTTATGACATATCTCTAAGTTAATAAATAGTCCAAAAAGTAATAGAAATAGAATTTTTTTTAATATATATATATAAGACTTTTAATAGAAAAAATTAAATCAAATAAAATAATAAAATAAAGTATTAATAGTTTGTTCTTCAAATTTTTGAACTTCTACACAACAATGAATGAATTTAATATATGCCATAATAAAACTAGGCTCAAGGTTAATATAATGTAAAGAAAAATTTTAATAAACTAATAAATTTGTAGAAGCCAAATGTTGGAACAACTTGTTTTTATTAATTGAAGTAAAAATTGCCACTTGATTCCAACTTATTCTTTTAAATGAAGGAGTTTGTTGGTTAAACAATTTCCAATTCATTGTTTCTAATCCAAGATTTAGGATTTCTTGTTGATATAAGTTGCAAACTTTAAGGTACTTCTACATATAAAAAATTTACTAAAATCCAAAAAAAATCATTGTAATATGTTTAATATAAAATAAAAAAATTAATAGATTTAAAATTTAAAAGTTTAAAATTTTAGGATTTAAAATTTTAAAATTTAACAATTTTAGGATTTTAGGATTTATGATTTTTAGAATTTTAGTACTTGAGATTTTAAGATTTTAAGATTCAAAATTTAGAATTTAAAATTAATTATTTTATGATTTTAAGGATTTAATATTTAGTATTTAAGGTTTATAATTAATTTATTTTAATCAATTAAGATTGTACTTGAAGTCTATCTAAACTACTATTTTGAATTCTTTCAATTGAATTCAATCAATGGAAATTAATTTGAATCATCTATGTTAAAATTCTACATCTTAGAATTATATGTCTTTGCTTGAATCATTCTTCATTGAATTTTATCCATTATTTAATTTTTTATCAAAACCAAACTTTGTCCATGTGAAAATTTCATGAAAGAAAAATTAATTTGAAGAAAATAAATTTGATCTCAAGGCTCTAAATTGCACACTAACAATAATTTTAGATTTTTTTAGTTGATCAAAGAGTGCTACTAGAAAGAAATTTTAATAAGATTTTTTTCAAGCTTTGATTTAAAAAGATTTGAGTGAATAATGACTTTGTGAGAGTTTTGAAATTTTAGAGTTGTTTTGAGTGACTTTGCATTTTGTGAAATAAAAAAGATTTACATTTTGCATAGCTACATGAATTCTTGGTGGAGTCTTGACCAACTACAAATGCATCAATCAATTAGTATAATCAAAGAGAATAGATTTAAGTATTAAATAAAATAGTTTTTGTAATTTTAAAGTAATTTATATAAGAAATGAATAAATTTATATAAGAAATAATTAAATTAAAATAATTTATATAGAAATAATAAATAATAAATAATAAATAATATTTATATATAAATAATTTATACGGAAATAATGAATAATTTATAAATTTATATAATAAATTTCTAAAGAATAAATGATTAAATTGAAATAACCAATATTTACACCAATTCCTCATTAATTAAAAATATTCAATCAATTGTTACTTGTTTAAATTTAAATGATTCTAAATGTACATATTAAAGTCCATAACATCTTGTACATAATTGTTATAAATATTATTTGCACTAAAGTTGTGAATGATGTATATAGTCTACTTCAAAAGCAATTGTGGCTAATTTTAGCCAATTTCACATATAATTAGAGGAATTATCAAGTCACTTTTTAATCAAATAATATGATTTAAACCATCCAAATTAAATATAATAATGAGTCTTGATTTAAACTACTAAAGATTCAAAAGTATTCTAATTATTATAAATAAATTGATAAACCATAAAGAACTTAATATACTTATGACAAAGCATACTTTGAACCCAATATATACAATTAATTTTTTAAGTGAAACAACTACTTCTAAAATTGATATACTACAATATTATTTCTGTCTTAAAAAGAATTTAAGCATATTTTGGTGAAAGAAATGGAATATAAAATTTAACTTGTTTCAAGTTGAATTGATCTAAGAATTAAATTCATAGAAGTAATATTCATTGTCAAAACCAAATTAATATACATATATATATATATATATATATATATACATATAATGTTTATATATGTATGCATATAAACATTATAATTATCGATTATTATAACAATTTTAAAGAAGAATATTTATTTTTAAGATTTGTGTCAATTAGCATAACTTCAAGAAATACTCTTGTATTTGTTTATAGATGATGGAAGCAGATACAGCTTGATTGGAGTAAATCCATCCAATTATGAGACAGTATTTTTTACATAGTAGAGAAATTATGAGACGATTTTCAAGTCTTTTGTCTTAAACACTTCTACGACACATCAAGTTATGAAAGCTTTCAAAGACTTAAAAAGTTTAGGCCAACTTTCATCGACAAGTTTTGTACATATAGCAGCTCATATACTCATCGAGGCACGCTGGTTTTGTGGTTCAAATATTGGTTGTACAATAGAATTTGTTTTAAAAATCAGCTCTACGTCTGTTACAATCAATTCCTAGAATATAATACAAATACCAAGTGCAAAATTCATCATCATGATGGTGTGTAAGCATCACAATTACCTCGTTTACTAACTTCAATGTTCTCAAACAGGTTTCATCTATAAAAATACAGAGTTTTCAACTGGCAGTTCTACATCTCAAACATGTCAATATCTACTAGCACTGAAACTTTAATTCTGAAGGGGAAAACGGGCACCGAAATAGACCGCTAGAACATCAATTATTATACAAAGCCAAAATGCCTTTTCTTCACACTCAAACGCAGAGTCGATAAATGAATAAATGAGCTACCCTCCAATGAAGTTGAAGCCAGCCTGAATATGGAGAGTGAGAACTACTATTTGAAAAATCTAAGCTACGAAAACGACAAAAATCAAAAGGAATGCGATCAACACCATAAAGATCTTAAGAATAAGCCATCGATTTGATGAGATGCTGTCAAGGTACTTAAGAAGCTGAGTTTGTGCTCCTTCGACATTTGAAAGAGACTCATCCATGTTCTCGTCAATCCTGCAAATAACACCAAAAATAAGTACGCAGCAAATCCATCATTCACTACATCGATACGGTTGAACACAGATGTAGAGCAGCTGTCCTCGCTTAGTGAGAATGTTCACATAAAAACACTCCTAAAGTCAACCGTGAAATTGAAGGCGAGTCGAAATAACAAGACATGTGCATCATGACATTGTATACCTGATAGCAATTTCTCCATGCTGGGCAACCATGGAGGCCAACTGGGTAAAAATACTACTCAACTCCACAATGGTGGACTCTACGTTTTGAAGAGCCTCGGCACGATTTTGCATGTAACTGTCCTGAACAGGAACTAACTGCTGCTGCTGCTGCTGCAGACGCCCTTGTGACTGCGAACTCTCCAGTCCATCAGCTGTAGGACGCCGTCTAAACGTGCCATTAAAACAAGGAAAATCGATACATCATAAAACATTTTTTTCTGGAAGGAAAGAAGAGAAAAAAAAAAAAAAAAAAAAAAAAAAAAAAAAAAAAAAAAAAAAAAAAGGAAGAAGATAAATAACGAAGTGGACAAAGCTAAGAAATAAATGCAAAAAAATATAAAGAGATAAAATCCAAATTCAGAAAGCCACTTTAAGTATCGCCAACAGAAAGTTGCACATGATCTGACCACGACCAATGTCCAACAAAAAAATTCCAGATTGATCCACAACCCTGAACGAGAGCCATACGGAACAAACGGCGGTTACCTTGAGCTGAAAAGTTCATTGCTTCTCCCCGTCCCATTGCTCCAAGGTGGAAGAGAAGCACCAGTGCTTGAAGCGGAACTAGGGACAGCAGATGCTAGTGGCCCCTGCCGAGCATAGGGGTTAACCTGTTTATTTGGAGAAGCTGTGAAGAGCTGTCGTCGATTATCGTGAACCTTCAGATTCTGCAGGTTTTAAAAACAGATACATTACAACTCAACTTTACATTAAAACACAATGTTCGCCTTCAACATTCACATTGGCAAATGCAGGATGGCACTGTGCCATCCGCTTACCTCAGTTCGTAAAGTAAGGACATCCTTGAACTCCTTTGTAGTGTTCATAAGACGACTCTTTAACGTGTCTACGACTGTTGCAGAGTGCTCACTGCTCTGTTTACTTTGGTTTGCTCCATCGTTTCTTGAATCGCAAAGCTTTTGCAAATCAGATATAGCTGCGTTTAATGCGGTAATGTCCTGTTTAACGACTGAAGTGAGCTCCTGAATTTCAACTGCCGGATCATCGAACATAGATGTTCGCTTTGCCACTGTACAACAAACCCCCACAGCATGATGTCAGTTATTAGTATAGGGAATAATTATTCAGTGCCAACTTTTCACATAAATTGGGATATCTTGTAATTAAAAGTTAACACAAATCATGCATTTTATACAAATAAATCAAATGTGGTCAAAACACTATAAATTCATCATACAATTATCTGGTAGACCTGGCTAAATCGACGTGAATTAGCGTCAAATATCTCGCACGGTTCCTGACCACACATTTAGAACCTAAGAAACAGGACATCTGGATCCATTCAGGTGCATACACTCAATGTAAATTCCCCATGCAAAGAACTCAAAAATATGCAACAAGAATACCAATTGAGACTTCGCTGAAAACCTGAGACGCGACTCACTCGTCCAATGTCACACTAGTACTTTTGCCAACGCTTGGTTATCTAAATACGACAATATCTCTTCCATGCATCGCACCCTAAAACCATCAAATATGCTCCGATTTTCGAGGACCCTCTTGATCTTGCACTACTTTGTTCAGAAAGCACACAATTCCCATAAATATCTCAAAATACACCAGATCTTACAAACACCATCCTGCCGTCCAACATTAAGCTGCCTTACAAATTAACTCACATTTGGCTAACTTGGAGAGCTTCTGCGAGGTCTGATGAATGCTAAGCCCGATCTGCGACGCTCGTTTGTTGAACTCCGACTGTAAGGCACCCGTCGCTTGCGGCAAAAGACGGGCAGTCTCGTCGGCATGCCCGTTCGTCGTCGAGCACTTGGCGCCATTCGTGTAGGGCAACGTCGATCCCTGCGTTTTCCTCAAGCGATCGAGGATGGCGTGAAACTCAGAAGTCCGATCTCGACCCAAAGTGGACGGCAATGGTCCCATTGCGATCGGCATTCTCCTTCGTCCCCACCTCAAACCTACCTCTTCTTTTTCTGTACTACAATCCCCGCTTCACGGAACTATCGAGCATTCCTCTACGCGCTACCTCATTAGAGACACAAGACCTGTCCACACACACAACACCGATGCTCCCAAGCCCGTCCTCGACTCTCTCTCCTCCCCTGCACCGTCGCCTCCTCCAGCAACGCGCTTTTGAACTCCGCTTTCATCACGCCAAAAACGCGTGAGAGAAATAAATGCTGCGACGTTAGACTAAACCAGACACTTTTCAGCAGCAGCAGCAGCAGCAGTAGGGTTTGGAAGATGGCGTGAGATGATACATTGAGGGCGCGGCATGGCCACGAAACAGAACTTTCCGCTGGCGATGGAGTGGCAATAATGAATGGCCTCTGCACCAACCTCCGTGAGGAGGAGACTCGCCGAGGAACGCGCACGGGTTTGTGGTATTCGTGAAAGCCCCAGTGTGAACGCGCCATCTAATTCTGGATTAAATGAGACTTGATCAAGCTGGTGTGAACACGACACCGCCGTCTTGGTTGCGATGTTGTTCTGGGTGAGTCACCGCGGACAACCACACCCACAACCGTGAGGCGTGGTGTTAGGATATTGTCGTTCATCACCCAAACCGGCGCGTATGACCGTCTGTTTTTTAACTTTTTCGTTCCTGAGTTTCTTCGTTTATCAAAGCAACTAAAATTAATTTATTTTTGCCGAAAAATACCTATGAGGCAGATCTTCCCCTTTTCAAACGTAAAAATATCAAGCTTAGAGAATGATTTCTCAATTCAATTTGTTCCTATTCTCCTTCACATGGACTTCTCTAAATAGTCCATTTAATTTCTGCATGTTACACAGTGATAGCATTGGCAGAAACAATGTAATTTTACTAACCTTGTGATCAAACATCTTAAAAGAACTCAGTTCTTTTATAAAAATGATAAAGTAAATTGGAAGTGAGAAAATGAGTCAAGTCGCAGACAATAACATTGAAAATTTAACATTGTTTATAAACCCAGTTTTCAAAACTGTAAGAAATGGCGAAGTTCTGAAGGTTAGAAACTAAATATCATATCATGTTGTATATGTGATTGTATCATGCCACCAGCACAACTTCATCATGACATCACAAATGCTCAGTTTAAGGCTTTCTTGGATTCATGGGATCCAAGAAATGTTTTGTTTACTCGTTCAGTGGATGAGTTATTCATTCATACTTCGGAGCAGTAGCTCCAGAAGTTGCCCCATCGTTGTGATTCTAGGGGGTTTCGTGGTTAGACGAACCAGCAGATCACCTTGACGGCAACTTCGCAAGAGCCTGCATGTTGACTTCATTAACGAGGTTCTTAGAGCCAGCACGCATGTGGGGGCCTTGAACGTTTCTGAGCTTCAACGCACGAGATGTGGAGATTTGACCGGATGGCTGATACCCATGTTGCAAGCTGGAAGCCTTGTCAGCTCCGGGAAAAAACATGATAAGGAACAACTACGATCCAACATTTCTGACTAGACTTGGCCATCGCGTATGTTGCAAGAATTTAACTCAAGTCAGGCTCGCTATGCACCTCATTCCGAAGAGAAATGAACAATTAGACATTCTTAAAGGGGTGAGTGCCTCTTCTACTACAGTTATCATCATTTAGCACTAAAAATAACACCAGAGTGGATGTGTTGTGGAAAGTTTAAATCGATTTATAAACAAGGAAACCAACAAACATCTCAGCTGTGCTACCACAACTGACGGTTTTCACTTCAACAAATGTTAATTCTAGCCCAACTACAGGAATTAATATCAAATGACAGCATTTCCTTGACACTGTCTACCCCTGCTGCAGAGCAATGTTTACTAGCTGCGTCATACTGAAGCATAAGTCACAAAAGTTCTGTGATCCTTCCTATGAAAAGAAACATAAGGCTCTTTACTACCTAACTATGCAGATACCTTCAATTCCATAAACACAAAAGTTGAATGCACTATAGAATCTTTACACACCAACGAGAAATGCAGGCATTCCTCACTAGGTATGATGCCATATGGTACCTATGTCATTGCTTGCCTTCCAAGGCAGACATCACTCTCCCCGTTCCCTTGAGGATAAGATAAGACATTAATCACAAAGATAATGTCTAATATATACGTGGCTAATGCGAGTAACATCATTATGATGCAACGCACACATCCTTTCAAACATCAGTGCTTGAGCTGGTAAAGAACTGTGTTAAGTTCTAAGATTATTGCCGCCTGATGCAAGACGTCCAGCACCTGACAAACAGTAATAAATCCATGCCATCTTGTCCCTTGCTTATCATGCATTAGGACCCAATGTATTTAGCAGGTGGAAGACATTGCGAGAGCATTTCCTGAAGCAAAACTGGAAGTCATAACAGGGGTGCTAAACAAAGCACAGTACCTTCGAGGCACTACCTCGGACCACCATCCACACCCTCCCATCGGAATGGTTGCATCACAAAACGAATGCTTGGTGGAGTCCTGATCAATATGCACACACACACACAAACCGTTGCTATAGCCACTAAAGATAACAAGAACGGTTTGAAAGCAGGTCCGCTGATGCCACCAAAGTGAGCACGCCGAGCATGGACTCTGCATGGTGCAAGTGTCTTGTTTATAGACAGATTCTTCACTGGAGCAGTACCACTGTCCACCCATTCTGCAAGTTGTAAAGAAGAGAAACCTCTACTTCCATCGTGTACATCACGAGATGACCTCTGGTCCAAAGTTTGAAGGAGGGAGTCGGGTGGTATGCTAATGCATACTTGGTGACTAGTCCCAGCAAGTGCAGCTACTTTGCAGCTCACCAACTCAATCGACTTGATATGATTTCCCATCATTGCGTACTGTAGAGGCGTGCGCCCACTATCATCCCGCTTGTTCATCCAAGCGTGCAAGCCAACCTGAACGGTAATCCAGGCTAGGCATTTAGATATATGAGCATGATCCTATAGATCCGCAGAGAATTTACTCAACAAACCCCGAATTCAGATGTTGGGCACAATGTTGATATCAACAAATAGGTCTAAACACTTTCATTGTCCTTCAGACCAATTCATTGACACAACAACTCTTCACCAAATGCTCCTAACCGTACTTTAATGCCTTGCACATGAACGGTCCTACACATATCCATTGAGAAGGAGCAGTAAATACCCACCTGAAAGAGGTCATTCGTGAGTGCATCAACTATATCTTCACCATCTTCCATACTGGCTGCGACATGTAAAGGGGTTAGACCAGCCGGCCCACTTATGTCGGGCCGAAACAATGTACTCCACTGCGAATTGAACTGCATCGAGTTACCCGACTTCTCTGTGTCCCCAGCATTTTTAATCGTTTCAGTGGAGATAGAAGAGGGAACATATGCAAGTAGAAGCTCCACCATATTCCTACTTTTCCTGCGAACTGCTCGGTGCAATAAGCTAACGTCGTTTCGTAGAATCTTGGATAATCTAGCTATGCTAGTATCTATGTTTTGCCCTTCCAAAGTGACATCTAAGAGCTTGCGAACAACGGCACACCAACTGCGTTCGACAGAAAAAATCAAAAGACACTTCAACCGAGTCGCAGAAACCTGAACAAACATTGACATCAGGTTAAAGTTTGGAAGCATAAGAATGCATACCATGCCCAAGATATCGAAAAGGATTAATAAGAACATGCATCGCTAATCTCTAAAATAAGGTCTGGAGTGGTCATAAGGTAAACAGGAAATAAAAGGACAAAGTTTGAAACAGATTTGCATAGGGGTAATCACAGCCAACAAAAGTGAAATTACAAAATATATAAAATCTAAGACATATAAATTCAAGACGAGGGATTTCGTTTCAAGATCCATTCTTTACCATTCTCTCATCATATCAAGTTTAGGTAGAGTCCAAGGAGAAGGTAATATAAACTAGACAAGGAGGAAGTATACATGAAAACTTTCAAATTCAAACCGCAATCCGAATACGGCAATCCTGATCCTCTACGCCCATATTCAAGATGAGAAATCTTTACCACGTTAAGCTCAGCGGTGTCATCCATTTGTCTTGAGATACCACCCCCAAAATACCAGCCCAGCTCATATAGAAAGGATGCTACATCTTCCTCCATGACTAAGCGCGCCACCTGACTACAACCAATGACCTCAACAGGTTGTAGGCCCTCTAGAAGGGCAGCTTGGGTAGTGCGAGAAGCTATCACTTCAACTTCTTCTTCAAGTGTGCAGAGCTCAGAACACACCCATCGATCCGCAATAATGAGAGGTCTAGCGTTAGCTAATGTCGTATCATGCTCGACCTGAGAGGTCGTCCAATGTTAGAAGCGGACGATAGGTGATCCGAGGATGCAAGCACATACACACACACACACACACACACACACACACACACACACGAAGCCTGAGACCACTCCACAATATTATTGAAAGTATAACAGAAGATTCCAATTTTAATTCAATTCTGCATAATAAGTAGTTATACAAAGATCAATCACATTTTTCATGTCTCTTTTACCCCTGATGGATGTATACTCAATTTTGCGAATACAAGATCACGTCAAAAGAGGGACACTACTACATCTAGCAAATAATTACCAAAGTCTCCAAAAAACTCAAAAGTAAAAATAATAATAATAATAAAAGATTATAAAGATGCACGGAAAGGGACGACTGCGTAAACAAATTCGTGTTCTTATCCAACAGAATAAAATACAAAGTGAAAAGAAAAAGATTCAAGACAGGGTAGGGACATCAAACCTCCAGAAAACAACGCCCTACAGCATATGGATGCTCTACACAAGATGTGAATTTTGCATCTAAGCGTAATGAAGTTTCAACGTTACTGTACGAAGTGCTCAAATCCATAGATTGACCAGTACAACTGTCCAAGTCATCCTCGATGTCATTAAAAGCAACTTCTGCTTCATTACTATCTGTTGACCCATGTTGAATCAAGTACTTCCCTCGATGAGCGCAGAGCACCCTGTGCAAAGACAAGTACAAATATGAGTCGAACTATTTATTGTCCTTGTGACAATTAATACGGTTTTGTTAAAACCACAATTCATTGACATTCTATTCGTGTTAACGCAAGTTATTTGAATTAGTTCTAAACAGCGTACTCCCAGCAACCTCTCATAGTCTCAACAATACCATCCTAAGCCCAATGTCTTGGTAAAAATGAGGAACGCCATACCTTGTGTCAGGAAGTGTAAGATTGAATCCTTTGACAGTGATGTTCGCTGCTTGATCAGCTTCAACAGCAAGGGGTCTCACAGATTGAATGTAAGGACGACTCCAGGAATCCACCAGTCGTTTATCCTGAATAATACCTGCACGGAATTCATCTTAGCCATCTGTCGACAAAGATTAACAAGACTTGCATGAGAGGCACTTACATTGCATGAGGACATACACATCTGTAATTGATTCTGCAAAAATTCACAACTGTAGCCTATCCAGAACCAGAGTGATACTTAGGTACAAGTAATAAAATGACTGCAGAGAGCACCCCCTGAAAATTAAAGCTAGACAACTCCAGTTGTGAAACATAAACCGTTTCTCTAATAAAGCTTGGATGGGTAACCGTGGTGATGCAAGAGCAAGTGGCAAAAGAACTAACCATCAACTATCAATACCGTTTGACGTTCAACTTGAACCAGAATGCGACCTTTGTGCCAAAAATCACCTTCGTGTAAATCGAGCAGCCTCTGTACACTGCCTTGCAGATCTGCATCTAACTGCTGACAGCATCCTAAGTTAGGAATCAGAATGCAAAGACGAATAAGAACACACTCTGAAACTGAGATATCAGTTTCACAACCACCACAAATGAAAACATTAAGATGACGAAGCGGTTTCAGCTAGAAAGTGCACCTCTGCCCATCCACAAACTGGCATGGACACAAATATTGTAAGAACAAGACATCCAGGCCGAATGTAGCTCTCCATGTCAGAGGGAAGATGCGCCAACCAGGAATCAATCTGAGAGACAAGGGGTAAATTAGTATCTAATCCCGAACATGCAGTAAGTACTGAAAACCACTTGCTAATTGGTTTTCCCGAATGCATCATTTCTTGAGACAACTAAAACATCTGAAGAGCACTACTCGCTTCTTTCGGTCATTGAAATCAACTGCAGTAAATACGGTGTCAATAAAATAGAACAAACCCAATGAGTACCTGAAACCGTAGATCTAGAGGGAGTTCCTCTGGATTCCTTTCGAATAGCTTCATTGCAATGCGGCGAGTCCAGTTCCTTGGCTAATAGTATAAGAACAAGTAAAAACATCAAAATAAAGCGAATGCAAATTACGGAGTTGCTAACAAAACACATATAAGAAATCATGAAACCATGACATTGATAAAAACCAGCATAAGCAACTAATCAACTTTTTTTAATTTTAAAAATGAATTCAAACATACAAACGCGTGTTGGTTCTGAGTGTATATGAAGAGAAAAGCCACCTCTCGCGCATGAGAACTTGATGGCAAAGGCTCATCTGATCCGGACTGTGAACTGCCACTAGATTGGCGAAGAGGTAGTTGAAGATTCACCTCCTGGCGAGCACTAGAAGACGGGTCCACAGTTGGTGATATTGGAAGCAACCTTCCGTCAGTTGGAAAATGATTGAATATTGTAGGCCCAAGACCATTGCTGGCATGTTTTTTTGTTGGAGATCCAGCATGCGCTTGATACGGCATGAACGAACTTTGAACGGCAGGTATACCTGGATATTCTACGGCGTCAGATGGATAATCACCCAAATAGTGGCGTGGGTTCGTGAAGAAGTGGACCAGGTCAACCACCAAGATATCATTAGGTTGACTGAAGAATCATGATTACTATGATTATGGACTCTTTTCAAATTACTTACCACGAGCAAATGACTATGAATCCGATCATGAAGACACTTATTGAAAAGTCAAGAATAGACAAATTTACATCAAAACAATGTTCATCAAAGGGAAACTCCTCACCATGTTGAACTAACTGCTCGGAGTTCAGCTGTGGCAACGGCTTAGGTACCATTGGAGTAGGTCTCACGACGTCTTTCAGAGAAGAGCCTCTCGCTAGCATTGGAGAAGAAAGAAGAGAGTGAGAAACCCCTGCACTGGTAGGTGCAACACATGTTTCAGTAGTGCGAGGAGGAGCAAGCTGTGTCTCTAGTCCACATGTGGACCCTAGGGGGAAGTTCCCAAGTCCACTTGCTCCATGCATCTGAGATCCAAGGTTATTTTGAATGGTTATTGATGCTGCAGCTATTTGAGCATCAAGGCTATTTTGAAGCATAAGAAGGAGGGCCTCTGGCGATGGACTAGTTAGTCTGGAAAGAAGATGCTGTGTATCCACATTCACATTAGCTACGTGACCATTACTAGCTGCCAACTGTTGCGGCTGTTGACCCAGTAAAGAAGTTAGGTGATGTGGATTTGCTAGCAACTGAGCCCACAAGGGTGTGGTTCGATTTATATCCTCCAATGAAGCAGTAATAACTTTTCTTAGAAGCGCTTCTCTGTCCAAAACTGGGGCATTGAACCGATCCAAATTAGTTGTTCCTGCATCATGGTGTTAACAAATTATTACACATCTACAACATACTCGCGCAATAAACCAGCGCATGTGACTTTCGTAAGGTCTGTAAACCCTAAAGTAAGGATTGATTTGAGCGTAGAGAAACCGTTAAAGAAGGGCGCAAAAATAGACATGTAAGTATTTGTTATAGTTACTATTTGAATACATTCAAAAATATAACAAAAGAAAGAAAGAAAAATTGGCCAATTGTGATTTGTGATGTTTTACCCATAAGATGAGATAAGATATTGAGGAGGCTTCCAATCAACCCTGAGCCACCTTTACTAAGGCGCTCTTCTTCAGCCACGAGAAGTGCCTGGGCAGCCGCTGCATCTGGTTGAGTTTTTCTCCTGCGCCTGTTATGTCCAGCAAGGCGTCTCCGACAGCTCCGTTTGCCTTCATCAAACTCTTGCAATGGATGGAATCTGCACATGTAGACGACAACCAACTGAGTGGAAAATGACATGCCATCAAAATAGTGATGCTTACAAAGGCAGTCACCAACAACGGCTAAGGCAACAAGCATCTACTCCAGCATTTGACATTGTGAAGTACAAGAGAAAACAGAAAAAAAAAGACTGATCTGCCCTGTGCACTGAATGACTACATCCGTAATAGCTTTACATGGCTCTCGTGAATATATTCTGGACAAACATGATGGAAGCTAATAAGTTCTGCTTTAAAATTCACGTAGATAATCTCTCATATAATGTTCTGAACTAACCAAAGATCACTCTGAAAGACTAAAACTAAGTCATTCACCTGCTGCATTGCTGACAGAAACGTTGCATGAGGCGTGAAACGGGGGCCTTCGTGGCTTTTGAATGCGTCTCACAAACCTTGTGACGCCTATAATAATCCTTTGCTTTACTGAGATCTGCCTTGCAAGCATCGACTTGGCACATGGGGACTTGATACTGGGGTGATGAAGAACGGTTTCGCTTGCCATTTCGAGAGCCACCTCCGTTTTCTTCGATATGGGCATATGCATCTCCTCCAAGTTTCAGGCTAAGAGACCCAACTGCTTCTTGTGAGTCATCGTCTCCAGGAAAGGCGTGCCCGTCATTTAGAGGGGGAGAGGGAGTTTCCATTTCCAAAAAATATTTGCCTCTCTCATCTTCCTCATTAGATCTGCGACGCCGCTCTCCTGAACAAGGCCTATCTATAGTAACTACAGTTGCTGAAGCTCTATGATTGCCATCACTTCCATTATTTCCATGTTCTCTTTGTTCCTCAAAAGAACCATCCCCTCTTTCACCTGCACGTTGAGCAACAAACTGTATAGAATCCCAATTCCACGTTTTCATGTCCCAGTGAGAAGGATGTTCAATCCCTTCTTCAGTATTATGACCTCCATCTGCCGAAGATAGACGTCCATTCGAGTTTTCAACATTATTTGCGATCGATGGCTGCACTCCACCAGCTGCAAAATATAACATCTCTAAGTGAAATTTACATCTTGAAGAGCTTTTTCAAGGAAAAGATGTAAACCATGGTCAACAATATGAACAGTTTTTATCTAGATAAGAGTTCAAGTGTCGGAAAGTTCATTAATGTGATGACGGACTAGAGTACCAGCAATGACTGAACCATGAAAAAAAAACTACTCAACAGAAACAGCAAGCGTGCAAAATTGATACTAGGAATAAAGATTAATATATTCACAAAGAAAGATTGCCAAAGAAAACATTTTTTGAAGATAAATTTCTATCGATCGCTCAGAAAAGAGTGTGATGGGTTAAGTTCGTGCCATTTTTTAACTTATGTGGATGCAAACAACAGGACCTTCTGAGCTGAGACTAACCTGGAAAGAATTGGTGTTGAAAGAGAGGAGGACTAATGTGGCTGCGTGAGTCTACACCAGCTTGACGGATATCTCTCTCCATTGTGTCCCTTCACGGACTCCTAGATTGGTCCCAATACTAAAAGTTCCCACCCCACCCCAAAAGGTGGATGTGTCTAAGCAGTAACGTGCAACAGCATAACAGACCAGTGCAAATCGATGACGAAGTTCTTCATGTAAGACAAAGCATACTCCAGCTGATCCACGGAAAAAAATATCTGCATCTTTTGACTGACCCTAACGAAGATAGCTTTTACGAAGCAGCATTGGAGCTTATGGAGGTGATTGATGCTATAGGGAATGAGTATTAACTTGCTCCAAAGAAAACCAAGACTCATATACAAGCATAAACATCGTTCCTGTCGGGAATGTGAACCATGCTAAACTTCCAGGGAGAGGGGAACAGTGGCTAATTTGATGGAGTAGATTGAACCAAGGCGCCTCAATTAAAGAAAAGAAACCCACAAGCTTTAATCACAACTTGTGAATGAAAACCAAAAAAAACACCATCTGACACAAACAGCCTGTACCACCCACGCATCCATGCTTTCTCAGGACTGCAATCCTTCGCCAAGTCACCGTCTAACCCAAAGAGAGAAGCTATCCCTATAGCAAACTGGAGCATCAACCCTCCGCAATCAGAATAAATCTCTTCTGAGCACTACTTCAATTCCACCTGCTCTTGCTTTGTCATGGACTTCATGAGAGAAATTGCTACAAACTTCGGCAAACTGGAGGTAATACAGGTCAATAGATGAGATCGGTGCCGTTACTGAACAACCTCAAGGCCGTCCTCGCTGTGACGGCAAGCTTAGATTACATACAGACCTCCACTGTTTTTATAGTGCTGAACAACTTGGCAGGCCCAATCGTACTCACAAAAGTACCCTTCTACAGAAAAATCCCATTTTCCACTTCCGAGTGATGGCTCCAGACTCCAGCTGTGCGAAAGCCCCAGAGGATAATAACGATAGCAGTAACATTTGCAAGAAGTATATAAACCTTGATTGAGTAAATGTACATCATATGCCGTACATCACTTCATGAATCCCTCGTAGGTTTAGCTCGTTCTTGCATAGCACCTTCGACCGTATCCTTATCCTGAGACGAACCAGATCCTGGTTAAGTGCAGAATGTAGAGGTCTGATATGTTCCATCATACAGTATGCTACTCCACCTGTGAATCAGTCCTCCATAATACATGACCCTTCATATTATGCTTCGTCACTCCCTGCATCAATGTTCAGGATAACATATTGCCAAAGAATTTTAAAAGAGAAACTCGAACAGCATCAGCATTTAAGCAAAACCTGAAAATAAAAAAAAATAAAAAAGAGAGAATAGACCAGTTCAAACATTTTGAAAAGGCAGAAGCATAAACTAAACAGTAATCTCCTTGTGTAAAAAGATGGGTATCATTGACCGTACGACGATATTTAATAAGCGGAAACCCTTAACATGTTTTCAGTGTAGAATGCTGTTGAAATACTCAAGCTGTGTCCTAGAAAACTAAAATACGCTCACGCTTGAGAACCGAAAATAATGAACAACTATGAGCGCTAGAGTTCACTTTCTTTACAGCGGCAGGCACCCCTAAGCAGCGAAAGTGTTTGAGCTACAAAAAAGTAGCTAATTAGTAACAAGGAAAATAGGAGACAAACTAAACCCAGCCATACCACTAACTGAGATCGATATCGCCAACATTTCATATCTTCACGAGGATTTCATTCCGAACCTAAAATATGGACTTCAACGATCACGTGAAACGTTCTAACTGTAAAATTAACAGGGGTAAAAATTTGCATTTCCTCGAAACATAGATTCTACGAAGATCGAACCCCAGCAATATCTAGAAGGAAAAATTCAGAACAGTCCCGGGCGCTCTACACTTGTGTGCTAAAACACTCCCGGAAAAACTCAAGCTCCCTGCAACAAGAACGACATTACGAGGATAATCCGCTACAGCCAGGGGTGGACGCCGCTTCGAAATAAGCAAAACATGACACCATTTCTCTCACCTCACGTGGCCTCAAACAACAGTAACTCCGAGTTGTGGAATAATGCACGGAAACCCTCTCCTCCTCCTAAGCGCAATACTCACTCAAATGCCCCCGAAAGTGGCTAGTTCAATGCGCATCCGCGAGTGCATGCACACTAGCGAATAAACCATGGACAGAAACACGATCAGCACCCACGAATGCCAAAATCCTTGCGGGCCAGAGGGTGGTCTCCTCGGGGAAGGAAAGGGTGGAGGGACGGAGGAGGGGGGTTTGTGAGTAGCGAGAACCTGGCAGAAATGCGAGAGTGATGACGCCCCCACTCTTGTGTGGATGAATGTATAGATGAATAAACCGACGGCGCGTCGTACGGACATTCATAGACGAATGAAATTATTCACTCGATATCATTCGTCCACGGGCCCACGGGCAGCACCTAACACTTCTTACGTCACGCAATCCCCCTCTTCTCGGGCAGCCCACGTCACCAGTCCGCAAATAACCCCAGCACTGTTAGAGCACTATTTTCTTTTTCTTTTTCTACTATATCTTCGTTTCGATTGTGACAGTTAATTTATTCTAAAATATGTATTATCTTAACCTTTTCTTACTTTTGCAAGTTTTTGTTCCCTAGACCACTCAACGAAATATTTCTTCTAGAAACACCTGGAGAAGTTCTTTCAGGATTTTACTAATCTACAATCACAATAACATTATTCCTTTCAATATGTAAAAAATATTTGAAACACCCAAAAACAACTGATAATTTTATTGCATCTAATGTAGCATATTTCCTCTTGAAATTAAAACCTTCAAAAACTCTCTTTTGATTTCAACGTATTATTTAGAACATTTCAAATTGTCAAAATCAAAAGTAATCATTGTTATTTATTCAAATTATTCAAATGATATATTTGTATATCAGAGTAAACAATTTTTTAATCAAAAACTTTACCATAACTTTTTGAACTAAAATTATATATATATATATATATATATTCTATGAAAAGTTGGGTTATTTTCTGTTTGATATTATAGATATTTTATAGGTTAACATACACACATACATGCGTTTGAATGAATCTTAATAAATCATTAGATTTGTTGGTATATTCTAAAAAAAAAATGCAAATTTAAACGTTTGAATGCAAATTTACAAAAAAAATTCCAATTGGTTATTTCATAGTGTATCTTAATGAGCATTGAAATTTCAAGTATCAAGGAATCGTTGAAAAGAAACGGTTTTTGTATAAATACTTATAAATAAAATATAAATAAATAAATAAATAGCTAAATAATTTCAAATCTTTTAATGCAACAATGTCATTTAAGAAAATCACTAAATAAGTTTATCATAATTTCAATAAGTTTACTTCTTAATAACAATAATGATTCTATGATCTCATTTGATAGATACTTTGCAACAGATTGGATTATGACTGACACAATAACGTATTTTCAGAAATAATAATCATGCAAGACATATACCATCTATTGTTTTCCCCTATAATTCACTTCTAAAATCATATTTAAATTTATATATGTTCATGCATTATCCCAGATAAATGTGTATGCAGAGAGAGATAGAGATGTAAAGGCCTTTATTTCTTATACTTGCATAAAAGAAATTATGAAATTTTTTTTATTCACCAAAATTGTGTTGTGCACAAATTATTTGCGTGTATGTGGACATGAATTCTATATAATTCAGTAATTCCATACACAACAGGCTTCTCAAAACTTATCAATCAACAATAAATATTTCACACTACTTCAAGAAGTGTGTCTTTTTCTTCTTCCTTCCTTCTTGTTTTGTTGAATTAATCCATTTATTCCTGTTATTTGTTAGTTTTTCTGCCAAATTGTTTTTGAATATTCTTGTATTACATGCCCCCCCCCCACACACGACGACACAGCCATGGGTCCCATTCCCATTCGGATATCCTTTCTCCGCTGCTGCATACATTTTCTATATGCTTTAATTGTGAATAGTATTATTCTGTTCATCGGTCGCGGTGATGAAGAGGCGGACGGCATCTGTGCCTACATCCATGACTTCATCCACATCAATAAAATTAATTCATCCATAAACTATACATCCATCCATGGCTTTTCAGTGGCAGTATCCGAGGAAGGCAAATTTGACCGAGAAGGGTGACGCGTGAGGAACCAGTGAGACTTTGACGACCTAAATGGGAAGCGGGGGGGGGGGGGAGCAGACGAAGATTTGGATCTTTCTACCGAGCTTGTGTGGTTGTGTGAACCACAACAGTGCGTCGCTGCTCTTGCAATTCTGCACACTTCGGATTCTGTTGGGAAGTGTGTGTGTTTGTGTGTGTACACGGTGGAGGCAAATTAGGGCTTCTGAAAGTTTTCGATGACTCGGAGCCTATCGTTCATGAATTTATCCAAGGCATGCAGATTTTTTCGTGGACGAGTGTCTGTGCTGAAGGTGTAAGGGAAATTGGCGTAGCATGGTCCAGGTTAGAAAATCAAACCTAAAGTTAGAGAATTTTGGACACATGGCAGGAAGATAACGGAAAAAGTTGTAAACTGGAGGCTCGGCTGGGTTGTACACGTCCATGGTTTGAGTTTTTCAACGTGTCCACGGGGGAGAACTTGGCGATGAGATTCCTTGGCTGTGTCAACAGACTACCATTTCATGCAAAAGTGGTTTTGTAGATTAACATGGCAGATATGCCATTAAACGATATGGGAGGCAATTTACACAAGCTTGCTACGAAACCGCAGTAGTGATTCAAGAGATTGGGCCATCTTCTCGTTTTGTGAGATGCTCCTCCCATATCGAACCAAACGAAGATTGTGGAGTGTGAAAGGATTTGATGAATACATTGAGTTTGAGTTCCTACGGCGTGACAGATAGCACTAGCACAATGAGCTTGCAGCGTAGTCAACATATCAGGTACTTTTGCTCAGAAAGTGAGAAGCATATTTTAAATATGGAGAATAAACTTCCGGCACATAAAGGCTGGTTCCATCCACAGAAGAAACTCTGCCATAGAAGAAACGCAGAGCATCGTACAGGTGAGTGCTTTCAATGATCAGAATGCAAAACTCACCGAGCATGAGTCCCTCAGACGCTATGTCAGCTATCTTCTTACACTGCATATGACGAGTAATTCACTGCTGTTCATTGGTGCTTGTGATTTGGAAGAATCTGTAATGTGAGTTTACCAATGTAGGGATCTAAGTCGAGTCAAATCCCACAGCTGATAAAACTCCACCAAAGGCAGTTCCTGTACGTACCCATTTCAGTACACGGACCCGATACCATTATTGTGAAGCCAAAGTTCCTCACAACTTATAAGTACTCGGTGGTGGATACTGGTGCACACAATTTAAAATTTTTTTTTGATAAAACTAGAACCAAAGCATAACAGGTCTTACAACCACAACAGTAGTAAGCAAATTACAACAATCCTTTCAGTCCCCCCCGCATATACACGCACAGCGCATGAGTTAATCCTCTAGTAGTCTGGTTCTCTAACACTTACTAAAATTTGATTATCCAGCACGAAGGAACAGAGAGGAGCAAAAATGGCGTGAAATCGAGCCTTCTTTAACTCGCTCTCGGCAGATACAGATTATATGTCCTAATCTCAATCCCAAGCTAACGGCTGATGTCGAGATAACGGTTACACCAAGTCCAAATGCGCAAACAGAGACGCGAGAGCTATATCTTGACATGTTCTAATAATAGTGCCACCAATTGGGTGGAACTGAAAGAATTCTAGTTTATGGTGTATGCTCATGAATCAGCTCTACTAAGGCGAGCTACTCAACATCTAAATGCTAAATTGACCAATTGTACCTGCGACTTATCCATCAGCATACCAAACTGTGCCGAATTTGGGTACAAACCTCTCTGGAGAAGTTTGTCAAATCCCAACCTGGTTGATATCATTCGTCCTCTGCTGTAAGTACCAATAGAACATTGAGCAGACACAGGGGCACGCAATTTTCCTGAAGAAAACATCAACACCTTCTGTCAACACACTCCCTGCCCAACTTCACTCACATCCCCAAAATCAGTAAGCTCGCAGTAGAAACCACTTCCAATCAGACGAGATGCACGAATCAGCCATGGCGAGCAGGTCTTTAATGTGATTGTCTTGTTGAAAAGATTACAAACGCATAGGACCTCTTTGGACCATCAAAGACTATGTCGGATCGATCAAAAATAAGAAATATGCACAAAAAATACATGCGAGTCTAAGATCACTCAGGAGCTTAAGTCTTCAATACAGTGCTTTGTGTCAACCTTTCTTTGCAGCAGCAGGCTTTGAAATCACATCCCGCATGGCACTTTCTGGCGCTGCATGCAAAAAATGGTAACGATTTCTTCGTCACTAAAAGAACATTTTCATAGCTAAAAAATAGGGCGCATATTATCAGGAATCAGCTGCAACTCCTGCCAGGAACAAATTTGACACTATACTCTGTTTCTGAAAGAACTCGTCTAGTAATACATCACTATCCTCTGCAATACTGAGGTCTACCAAGTAATTAGTAGACTTGCGGTAATCATGGATGGCACATCATCAAAATGTAAAAGCACAATAAAACACCACATAACACCCACCACATGAAGCAGGATGACCACAAACAATAGTAAGACACGTATATTTGAACATACCAGGAAGGTCTGTGAAGTATCTGAACTGAGCAAAGGCTTGTCCGTAAAACATCTCCTCTCCACTTACAGTTACAGCCCCCATCTCTGCTGCATCTTTCAAGAGCTGCGTCTGTTTTGGCGTGTAGACAGCATCAAACACCAAAGCATATGCACTCAAAGCATCCTAGGCACAGTTACAATATTTCCTTGTAAGCCACTGGAAGTAAAATCAGGAGATAGCTGTTAAAAATGTGCAGAAATAAAGGAGGAAACATTTTTTTCTCTGATAAGCTGTTTCAGAGTGGATCCTGAGTGAAGGTGTTCGCGTGATTGTAAAGGTAAAAGAAGCTCTATCTTTTATCGAAAATTAGAACTGCACAGTTTGAAGTTTCAACGAGATATCTGATCGTGATGCACTTGGGAATGTAATCGGTGAAATGTCGAGATCAACAAACAACACACGAAACGTAGAATGCTAGAAACCAACCTTGTGAATCGGGGACCTAGTGACTTCAGGCTCCATCCCAATAGAGGTACTGTTTGCAAGTATCATGCCAGTTTCAGGGCGGAAGTCTGACAGCTGATCAAGTTCTATTGCCTTCCCACCCACAGACTCTGCTAGTGCTTTTGCGCGCTCTGTAAAGCCACGCCAAGTCATCATTACCTCCAATACATAGAAAAAAGTCAGTGTAAAATTAGGGATTTAAAATGTTTTTAAGTGGATACCATAATTGCGATTAGCAACAACAACTCGAGCATGTCTTTCTTTAGCTCCATAAGCCAGAGCTTTGCCAGCCCCACCAGCTCCAATCACTACAAACAGCTTGCCTTTCAATGGTGTTTCATCATTGTTAGCGAGCCCTACAAGAAACAAATTCATCCTCATCAGTGAGCATGATTGGATATTACATCACACTTAAAAATTTAAACCACTAAGGCAATCAATGCCAACGCTTCTGACAAGACTCGAATTTGAAGAAAAAATTCGAACCAGTTTCACTGAAAAGGGAATTTGAAAGAGGTGTCTAAAACTTCATCATCAAGACATGAACGGCTGTTTCCAGCTCCGATTCTCTACCTAAAACCACGATCATTCTTTGACTTTTGTGACACTAAAAACAGATAAAAGTCTTAATACCTGAATGACGAAGTCCTTTCTCAATAGCTGAGAGGGCACCCTCACAATCGGTGTTATAGCCCTGATACTCCCCAGTAGTCTCTCGTACAACAGTGTTTACTGCACCAATAATCTGTGATTTTGCACAAAAGCAAATTCAAAATTAATTCCGCTGTAAAAATGACATAATATTATTCAGAGATGAAGCACAAATTTGAAGAAATGAACATAAACTTGGAATACCCACCTTTGCAGCATTTTCAACCCTATCACACAGCTTCAGTGCATCTTCCTTGTATGGTATCGTAACGCTGCAGCGTTCCACTTAAAAGAGATGAGTGACATTTCGCATCAGCGGCATCGGCGTTAAGAATGAAAGTGGATGGAAGAGAAGGTATACATCTCTATAGTGAAGCACAAGCTAGGGGTTTCAGTATTGGAAAGTACCAAGACACATACGGTCCATAAAACTCTAATGAATATATAATAGGTGGGTGAAATAAGTACCTGAAACCATGAAAATCGGGACGGTTAAACACGTTCATGAATTTGTTGAAATCATCAACAAGCAAAGGCACATACACTTTATTAAGGTTAAGCTCCTCGAATCCTTTGTTATGTAAAACAGGGCCCTTACTGTGATACACAGGCTTTCCAATCACTCCATACACCATGGTATCTCGATCCATGGACTTCACCCTGTCATACCAAATTTGCTCAAATTAAATACTCTAAACAAGAAACCAAATATTTGACACCGCGTCCGGTATAAACTCGTTATGAATGCTTGCTTTTTGGAATAACTAAACAAACTGTAAAAAAGCAATAAGACAACTCCAGTTCTTTATAAATAGGAGGAGAACAAAAGGTGATAGTTATCATCGCCCTACGGAAAACAATACGCAGAGAATGAAATACCTGTATACTTCAATCAGATCCTGTACAGTGGGCTGTCCAGGTGCCGATTCTTGTCCTTTGCACAATGCTCCGAACGTCAAGTAGCCACCAAATTTTGGAGCTAGCAGACGAGAGATCATTCCCGCTGGTCCCATGGCCAATCCGATTGTTGGCCCCTGCAATCGACACTACTATGTGAGCTCTTGCGATCAAACAAACATAAAACGAATTCACGAAAACAAGCTCATACAAAGGGAATTCAGAAAACAAAAGAGCTGGAAAATAAGCACAGGAGTTAAAATGAGCTGATAAATATGTCCAAACTCACTTTAGATTCAGAAAGGAAGTGGAACACTTGTGCAACATCGGTTATATCTTGAGCTGTGGTAACATATTTTACAATGTCTCCACCAGTAGCCCACATTTGTTCTATAGTCGCGTGAATTTCCTCGTCTGAAGGGGTAAAGTCCCAATTATGATTTGAAACGATGATCTTTGTAGTGGAGTCTTTACCTCTACTTCTCAACTCTTGGATGAATCCTCCAGCTACCTGTGGGATTTTCAACCCAAGAAATAAATTATTAGCCTACAAGTTGAAAAGTAAGTTCAAAATTAGTGACATATAGAGATTAGACCACACACCTTTAACTCAACATCAATATAGTCGGCGCCCAGATCATAAGCCATTCGCAAGATGTCTTGCCTTGATTCTTCACTACCCTTGTATTCTCCACCTTCCCATTTAGCCCTGATACTCCAAATCAAAACTCTGTAGATTAGACCACTGAAGGATGACATCTCTGGATGCTTTCAAATTATGAACGGCAACGGTAGCTGTTAATGACGTTCTGTGATTATAATGAACAGGAGGTCACCTTGGAGTGACAATCACAGGCAAGGGCTTGTCTTTCAACAAAACGGGGAGATCTGCTGCGGCATCGAAACCGCTGATGAGGTCCACTCGCAATTCGGCAACATCGGCTCCGCTTTCCTTAGCCAATTCAAGCTGAAACAACATTTTCTTCACTGTCTTGGCCGTCAATGGAACACATATGAGACACTGTTTAGAAGGATCCATCAGCGCTACCTTCTTCTCCCTTCCTCGTCCGATTCCACTGAAACCCTTCAAATCTAGATAAACACGACAATTAATTACGTTAACTTGTAGAATAAGAATCGCCACAAAAACAATGATTTCTAAATGAGATCACAATGTCGACAAGCCTTTCGAACGGGAAATGTCTCGAAGGATTTGCATTTCAATTCATAGGCTTTTGAAGAAGCATGACAGAAGCCATAAGTTTCCCAGGAACAAAAGTGACAATCACCAAAAACTGGAAAATGGCAAAGGCAGAGCCGGCTGCGTATTGACAAATTCCAGAGAAGCATGCAATTCGAAACCACGCTGTATTTAAGGAGAATTGATGGAGAGAATGAGAGCGGAAACAAGCCCCAGGAAAGAAGGGAAAGAGTGTCGAAGCAAAGTTGAGAGGCTGCACAGGAAAGTAATCAAACCTAGGAGTTCGTTCATCACCAACCTAATCACGCTTTCTCACGGAATGATCGAACACATCCAACGGACTTGAGCAAGGCTCAAATGTAAGTTCCTATTCCCAACTGCCAAAACCGTACCCAAAACTCCTACACCACATCTAGCTCTCCCGGAAGTGATGTTCACACCCCACAAAGGAAAACCCTCCCTCACAATGCCCCCTCTCTTGACTCGACGCGAAGACCAACGTTCCTTCACAAAATCCCACAATTCAGAATCAACCAGCTGAGCACGAAAGGATCAGCCCACAAATTTTGACTCCCCCAAAACATGGGTCCCACAATGAACCCTAAAACACCTCACAACAAAGCGGGCATCGCCAATGATAAGCGAAGAACACAACCCAGCTCTAATTAATCCACCTCTAACTGCAAACACCACCTTAGGGCCATTGTTCAGCCCAACTCTACCAGCAGCGAAATGGCTAAACGCTCCCGCGATCTCTAATTACGGAATCAGAACAGAGCTAAGGGTGAGACACTGGCAGCGAATCCGCGGGGTACGACACGAACCTTGGAGACAACCGAAGAGCTGAGGCAGCCTGCTACCCGGAGCAGCAGCAGCAACAACAACAAAACGGCGAGATTAGCGTGGGAGAAGGAACCAGATGATGAGTTGTGTGAAAGTAAGCAAGTGTGCAGGCACAGACTTCCTGCCGGACTTCCTTCCTGCCTTCGTGAGGCGGTCAATCCATCTGTAGCTTGATGGTAATCTCGTAGAAGGTGCCAATTCCGGCGTGAAAAGCGATCAGAGGGTCAGCTTTTTGAAGAATGAGTCCATCGCTGCCACGGCGCTGTCATCCTCGCAAGCACGCAAAGCAAAGGAAGGAATGAATGAAGGCGTCACGCATGAGTCATGCCTTTGAATGCCTCTCTGGAGTTTCCTCACTCCCCCCCTCCCCTGCTCCTCATACTTGCCCATTCATGAATTGAGTTTAAACACAAACCCAAGGATATCTTACCACAAAGAACAAAAGAAATCAGTTCACAGATTGATTTTCTAAGTTCATTCTCCACCTTTGTTTAGGGGGTCTTTATAATTTGTTACTCGCCCAAAGTACCTACACCTAAATGTAAGGATGTTATCCGTCCAAGGAGCTTGTACCCCTTGAGGATGATATGTGTTGACGTACCCTAACGACACAGCGTCAGAGGAACAGTAAACAAGGAGATAAGGTTGTATAAGGCCATCAAAATTAATGGGGGGTACAATAAGGGAGAGGGGTACTTAAGGGTTGGAAAAAGCACTTAGGAGGCAGTCGAGAAGCAGCACAATATGTAGTAGGTCCTACACAGCAGCACCACAAGTCAAGTCAGTGTTGGGTTGGAGGTCATGTGATTTCCAACAGAGCAGTAAACTTTTCCAATCATCATGTCTATCAAGTCTAGTCTTGCAAGGTTGTGTCTCATATTTGCCTATAACATCAAAAGCCTAAGTAACATAATTCTATCTACACCAAACGAGAAGGTCTTCTGTAGTTAGTTTTTTACTTGAGATAATCAATCAAAAAATTGTAAGAAGAAAAGATAAGGTAGAATGTATTATTTTTTCTTTGTGGTATGAATGTTATTGTCTCTCCAAATTTGTAGTGGGCCTATCAAAAATTCTTTATTAAAAATTAAAAAAAGTCATATCAAATACTATTAAAAATATTTATAATATGTATATGTGTATATATATATATATATATATATGTTTTTTTGGATTTTTTGTTATTTTTAGAATATTACACAAAAAATAATATTTAAACTTATACTAAAAGATTTATAAACATGCTTTATAAATTCTTTTCACTTTGCACTATCTCCTACAACCAAAGCTTCTAGAAGAGAGTTTTCCTTCATCAAGCAATAAACTATTGTAAAACCATTAAACCATGGTCTTTCAAAATAGGCTTCAAAGAATAAATACTCTTTTACCACTATTTTGTAGATTAATTTTAAAATTTGTAATATTTATGTAAGTAAGAAAAGATTATGGTTGCAAAGGTTTAAATGTGTAAATAATAAAACATATATATAGGGAGAGGTATGCAGCTTAATTTATAACCTCAATGAATAGAAATTACATAAAATCATGCATAAATTTTATAATTTAAGTGGGGTTATTTAAGCAATATTTCCAAGTATTGAAATGTTGCCAAAGCTTGCAACATCAATCAACACGATTATATATATATATATATATATATATATATATAATAAAAATAAAATATTCATCTTTGTTTGGATTAATGAAGTATTAACGAGGAAAATAATCATAATTATATTTGTGGCAGAATAGACAATAAAGTATAAGTTTCTTTTATAAACATGGCAATGTGTGGCTATTGATATTTAAAAAATATTAAAAGAGATGATACCATGGTATAAAATATAATTCTTAATTAAAAGTTATGATTATAATTTTTTTATTAGTGAAATTGATAAAAATAACTGTTTGGTAAAAATATTTTTTAAACCAAAAAAGCTATGTTATTTTAGAAGTAACTTACAAAATGTATACTAGATATTATAAATATAAGTTTGGACTTATCTGTTTAATATAAATTTATGGTTCTGCCCATTTTGCAAATATTACATTAAAATATTACGTGTTTTAAGTTGTATAATAGATTTAAAATTTAGTGATTATCAGAATTAATTTAAACAATTTTTTTATTAAGCCAAGTAAATATCATTGTATAAAAAATTCAAAAAAATAACTAATTGTATAAATATTTAAACATCATATTTTTTTTACACATAGAAAAAAAAAAATACAACAAACTTTGCTTCAATTAAGGCTTTAACTAGGGTTTTTTCTCTGTTTGTTTATTCAACTAAGTATTTGAATTAAATTGATGTAAACCTACATCTCCAAATGATAGTATAGTTTACATCACATACTAACACATTGTTCATGTCCACTTTGTGAGCAATTTTAATACGCTCACAATAATTATTAGATTATAAACAGTTTGAAATTTCTTGTTGGATGCATCAAATACTTTGTCTGCAGGATCAATGTTTTCCTGTATGGAATACAGAAATCCAGGTATGATGTTTTCATCTATATATTATTTTAAACCAAAATACCCTGTGAAAACAATGTCTTTAGATTGACTTGTATTGTATGAGTATTTGTATACTGCACATTTCTAACACCCAGCTGCTCCAGGTTTCACTAATCGGCTGAAGCGGAACCATGAGCCTTTCGAAGAACTGCCTGCCATCTTGTGTCCGATAAAGCTCTTCACTTTCTGATAAGAATGCCCATGCAAATATTCATAATCATTGGAAACTGGGGTTTCTTCTCCAAGTAATCCTTCTCAATGTGCTTGCTGAATCGTTCCATCAAGGCTTCGGTGAGCTCGGGAGCCATGTGTGCAGAAAGCATGCCCCCAAGTCCACCTCTCAATATACCTGTCCACCATTTCGCATACGACTGTGCATCTTTCAAAATCAGCTCAGGATTCGGGGGCGAGAACGGATGCTTGTGGATGTATTCCAGTTTCTGGATATGGAAACAGGAGGTCTCATGATCTACGACTTCTTCAACCTCCTCTTTGCTAGGATGACAATTTGGGACGTTGAAGGTGTCCAGAAGCTCCTCCGGCATGACTCCCTGCACATGAACGAAAAGTTTGTAGCAACTTAAAATTTGTATAGGTATCGGCGAATAGATTGATGCTTTTGGATGGGTAGATATGCTAGCAAGGGAATCATAGCATGTGAGAAAGAGAGAGAGAGGGAGAGAGGAGAACTTTAAGGACAAAGCCAACGAACCTCAGCCACGAGCTCCCTCCATGCGGTCTCTACTTTCCACAATGCTAACTGCATACTGTCTTCAGACATCTGTCGTTCGGGATGGGCTCGATCTGGTCGCGAGGGGAAGTAAAACGCAAGCACTCCACCAGATGCCAATTCCTCTGCTCTGCACTGAAAGAATTTGCGCAATCCTTCCCTCGAGGTATCTGCGAACACCTCGGCCACTGCAGGGCTGGCGCCGTGTGAACTGATACAGCCTCTATTGAACGTGGGCGAAGACTCGTCTGTGATCGATTTAGGGATCTGTTCAAAAGTTAGTGAAAAAGACACTGTTTAGATTCGGCAGAATTGTTAGCCCTCTATGGTTAAAAAGGATTTTGTGCACTGGTACTGTCTCGTTGTACAAACAATCCCAGAGATCATACCTCCGGTAAGTAATGCAGCGTAAGCGTTGTTATAGCGACGTGCAAGCTTGACCGTGGAAACATTCGGTTGAATTGATTGCCTGGAACACCTGCTGCAAACCATGTCCTCTCCTCCACATTTCCATTGCCACCATCTCGACTTGCCAATGGTGGGAACTGGTTAAACAAAGTGTTGAAGTCGTTGGTTGGCAGATCAGCAAAATAACACAAGAAGTCTCTTTCAGATATCTCTGGCCTAGACTTCAACGTCTCCGTCACAAACTTAGCGAGGCCGATCGTGTTAGCGCCCACGGCACATCCAAAATCCGCGTAGTAAATTGGCCCGGCGCCTTGGGGCGGCGAGAAATGGTGCAAGAGAAATTCCTCGAGGGACGGCACAATGCAAGCGCTCAAAGTTTTGCTGGCTGCAGAATTGGATTTACTGTAGCTGCCTTCTCCCTGCCCTCCCTGGGTTGCAAACGAGAGCTTTCCTTTCGATTCTTCTGTACGTTGCGCCATCTCTCGACGGTCTAATCCAAACGAGGAAAAGAAACAAAAACCGACAAAATTTCCGTGCTACGAGGCCCAACGGCACTGAAGACACACAGCTCCTTGCTGCTTACTACCTGGAGTAAACCCTTAGAATCGCAACATATAGAACACGAGCAGAAACGAAGAGGATAGACCTAAAATACTAGACACCGATCACACGAGGCTACTTCACTGGAATAGGAGAAAAAAACACTGGAACAAGAAGCTGGGACCTCTCAGGCCATCCCAGAAACCAGACAGAGACTGGAAGCTAGTAAGAAAGTGCGATGGAAACGTGGGTGAAATTGGGAGGGACTGGATTGAGTCATCGCGGTTTTATTCATGGCCATGGTGCCAGGAATCTCTAGCTATGCTGTCGACATCCCTTGCTTTGATACTTCGTCCTCCCTTTCCTCGCTTTCGAACAGCCCTCTTCCGCCACTCCGTTCGCAACTACGCATGTCGATTTTTGTAGACTCCGCACCAATATCTCACATATTCGAAGACTTTTAGGGTGACCATTCATCATCTCTACTTCCTTTTCAAGTGTGAGAAATGCCGTGTGAGATGACATTCCTAGTTGAATACCATGTCTTATACCCAGTATAAGACATAAAAGCACAATTTTAGGTATTCGTGGTATTCATGGCATTGTAAAAAAAAATAACTGGCCTTCAAGTTTGGGGGCAGCAGGTTTTAAGTGTGACTGAAGTCTCTGAAAGTTGCTGCCTTCCTGTTCCGATCTTATCTCTCTTGTAGGTTTGGTTTAGATGGTGGCTACTAAGAAAACCAAAATGGCATAAGATTTCATAAGCAAGTGTACCCTTGGCTATATCACCTTGCACAAGTTGATCCAGGGCAGCAAGGGCAAGTTCATCAGTCTTGCTAGCAATTATTTGTTCCTTAAGAAGTCCATATTTGAGTTCAATGTTATGCTTTTCAAGATTGGCATGCTTCATCAAAGAGTAAACAATATTGACTTGGACACCACTTGCACCTGATGACTGGCATTGTGCGATGAGCTGACTGGTCAGTTCAATTCTGGGCTTCGCAGGATTTTAGAAGCTAGCTCTTACGCAGAGAACAGCCTTTGGGGCGGATAAGTCACTCTGTCATTTGTGTCTGAATTGTTCACAGTATAGGACATTGTGCCACAATAATCTGTTTAGGATTTTTGGAGTTGGCACCATGCACTGCATGTGTGCTTGAACCGAGTACGTCAGTCTTTTTTTATTTTTTTTTATTTTTATTTTTTAATAGCACAGAGAGGCGTGTTAAACTTCACATACATATAAGATTTTCGTTATTGAACTTTTCTGGTTTCTTCAACTTTGTATCATTCTGTTGTGTGAGTGTGCTCAAATAGATTTGCTTCTTTTGGGTTGCAACAACTGTATGAAGTTGTCAAGTTTCCTTTGAACAAACTGTAATATACACAGCTTACAGGTCTTTCCAGCTCTATTTGGTTTTGGGTCATTTGTAAAATATATTTTTCTATTTGGTAGTTACCTCCTTCTACAAAAAGTCTACTTGCAGGCGTCAAACACAGAAATGGCTATGGATAAAACATGAATGAAGATTGATCCTGGAGCTCTCAAAATACAGTAGTTTTAAGATATTTGTAGTCCATATGGAATAAAGTGTTTTATTTCAAGTTGCAATCAAAGATTCCAAAATCAGTGGATGTTTACTGGATCACAAATAGGGGGTTTCTTTCAAGCCAGTATTTATCACAGGGGAGAACAAATCAGGGCATAGAGTTATAAATTAAGCTTGGTAAAAGGGAGGGCACACATTGAGCTCTTTATCCAAATTATAAAAATATATAATTATGTGCATTCTTACTTATTTATTGATTTTGAATGTGATAGATTGTATTTTAGACCATTTGTTAAATTGTGCTAGTAATTTTTAATTTGATTCTTATACATATGATGGTATTAATTATTATATATATATATATATATATATATATATTGCACAATTTTGAAATATAATGACACATTTGTGAGTAACTGTCCTGAATAGGACCCAACTGCCTCTGTAGGTGCTCTTGTGACTGCAAACTCTCCAGTCCATCAACTGTATGCTGCAATCTAAACCTGCAATCAAAACAAGGACAATCCATACATCGTAAAATACTTTTTTCAAGAAGGAAAAAAAGAATAAAAAAATAAGAAAGAAGACATTTACGTGCAAAATTGTGCAAGTTATTTACATTTAGTATCTAATATCCTATCAAGTTTTGTCTTTCTTGATTTTATTTATTTAATATTGTGTCAATAATTTTTGTGTTTTTAGATTTAATCTTTCAATAATTTTTATCTTTTGATTATTTTATACATATATACATATATATATATATATAGATATTAAAGCCACACCTTCCTTGCAATATGATAATGAATTTAGTCCAACATCACTCTACCACATGTAGTGTGCTCATGACCATGGCTTGATGTGGATGAACTGGATCATCATGTGCCAAAATGTGTTTGTTCCTTTCCTCTGTCCGAGACTTTCTTCATGAGTGCAAAGGAAAATCCCATCTTTTGTACCCAAGACTCTCCTCAAGAAGCACAAAAAAGACAAACAAGGACTATTGCCAAGTTTGTCATCCAATGTAGGAATAGTATAACTTAGATCTGTTAGAATGGAATTGTATAGCTTAGGTTTGTTAGAGTAGAATTGTATCACACCTATTGCATCTTATTAAGGCGCAATCGAATTATGCAAGCAATGCTTTCTATGGTCTAAATAGTCTTATATCAAAAAATTATTGGTCCTTCTATCTTATGAAAAACTTATAATTTTTTTGCAAGTTTTGAAGAATATTTGTTGAGCTATCCATTCTAGTTGTCTGCAACTTCATAATCACTATCAATTGTGTGTTTAGTTGTACATATCCTGGTAAGGCTACAAATTACATCTGGAGTTTCTTGCACATCTTGCTTGTGAAGTTTTAGTACTAATCAAATTTTAAATGCTTTTGGTGGTCATAGTAAGGACACAATTGATAAAACATTAGCTTATAAGACAATAGCAATTAAACCTTTTTAATGCAAGTAATATGATGATTTTGGTATTCAAATGAAGCTTTATTAATATTTTTTTAAATGGCATTTGATAAATATTTTGCATTTGTAATGAGCACAAAAACCAAAGCATAGAAAAATAGAAGATGATGACATATTTATCTTTAATGAGGATTTTGTTTTTTTTGTTTTTTTTTTTTTTGTATTAAGGTGTAGTATGCATGTTCTCATTATTATTTTGAATTTTGGTTTCAGATTATATCCCATCTATACATTGGTTTAAACTTAAGAAGTTCTTATTTATATTACATTTTGTTCTATGTCAGGTCAATACTATATAGTTCAAGGAAAATATAGAAGAAAATATAAGTACAATAAAGCAAATATTTTAATATCATCACTATTAAGTAAGAAATCAATATTCTAAATTAATATATTTGGATTATTTTCTTGTTAAAACTTTTACATGTTTTTATAATATATATAAAATATTAATTTATATTCAATGTAGCTATTGATCTAATATTAATATCGAGCTTTTTGCATAGATTGACCGTGCCATTGTTTGAAATATAAAGAGTCTTAAATCATAAATTAGTAATAGTAAAACTATTTTAGCAAGTAATACATTTATTCTTGAAAATTATCAACAATGTATGTATTTTCAAATATACATGCTTAAATTGTAAAACAAAACTTAGTTGAATCACAAAGCTAAATAAGAATAGAAGAATTAGAATTTGTAGTAGCAAATGCCTCTAAAGACAAAAGATGATGTCAAATTTTTATTAGTATTTCTTTATAAAGTCTTATAATTAAATAATTACAAACCTAAATAAAGATGTCGGCATCAAAGGTTTAGACTTATGCATGTGGGTCCTTGCTTGAACATGGCATGGAAAGCAAAATGATTATAATATTCTATGTTTAAGCAACTATTCTATTTATATTGCCATCTACTTTGTAAAAATTACAATCTTTGCCTTGTGGCATGCAACATTAGATCATTGCATTTTTCAACCTCCTTGTTTGGTAGTCTCTTATACTATAACACTATCAATAGTCATGACACCTAAGCTTTAAGGTATTTCATGCATACAATAAGGCTCTTGCAATGGATCTCAACGACGTTGGAGTGCTAATGAATTAACTGTAGTGAGTGAATAAGATGTCGGTTGGATGGTGGTTTCTTGTTGGTTTCATTGTTTAGAGTTATGTGGATAGAATTTAGATTTTATTTGGAAGAATGGAAAGAATAAGAGAGAGATGTTGATATATAAGGATTTTGTATGGAGCTATGAAGGATTTGACATTGAAATAGAGGTTGAATTATGGTTTTGCATGTTTTACACAATTGCATTAGTTTTCTTATAAATGGTAGTTAAATGAGATTCTTTAGGGATGTTGGAATATATATATATATATATATATATATATATTAAATAGATATTTAATTTAGAAATAATAATAATGACTTGATAAATAGATTTTAATAATAGAATAGGCCTTAATATATATCTTTAGCATTTAGTTTATGTACAAAACTTAATTTTAATATAAAGTAAAAATTTATAGAAAATACTTGATTAATTATGTTTAATGTAGATATAATTGAATCCCATCTCTTTGATAAGACTAGAAACTCATTATAAAATATTTATTAAGAAATTATCTTATTTTTTTGCATGACTTAAATAACATTTACTTTTGTAGAATGTAAGATGGAATTTCCTTTTGTATTTTAATGTAGTAGATTGAAAAATTAATTAAATAAATAAATGCTACTTATTAAATATACATTAATTTTTTTATATCTAAGCAATAATCTTTTGATACATACTTCGGCTATTTTACAAATTTTGATATAAGAAACATTGAAGATATTTATTTCAAATGCTTCTTCCATCCAAATGTTAATATCCTACATTAGGCAACTTTCTTTGAAGTATTTATTATTTTGCCTTTTTTCAAAGCTATGCAATTGTAATACTCAAATCTAACTAAAATACAATTATAGTGACTATTATATTAATAAGATAATAATAAAGCAAAGTTGCTATTACACACATCTTTGCAACTATCTATTTGATTTATATGCTAAGAAGTTTGATTTTGGCCTTTGACATCTTTTTGTTAAAAATTCTACTCTTAATCATCCATCTTCTTTAAACATGTCAGTACATTCTATTGTAAGACACTTGTCACTTGAAATTCAATAAATGGTGTAACAACTTCCAATAAGATCTAAAACTTATAATATTTTTAACTACTATTTAGCAGCAAGGGCCAAGAATTTTAGCACCACCTTCAAATGTTTAAAATCAACATAGAGTCCTACAAAATTAGTTATTGCAAGGACATACATTTGTTGCAAGTTTATTAGAAACAATGAAGGGATTGGATTTCCAATATGATTATCATTATAATCAAAGAA